ACAAATAATTCGAAGTCAAATATTTACAATCGTTTAGCAGAAATAAGGACAGGAAACGTTTTAGATAGTGATAGAAATTTGAGGGTGTGAATGTGGGTGTGGGTGTGTGTGTGAGGGTGTGAGTGTGGGTGTAGGTGTGGGTGTGGGTGTGGGTGTGGGTGGGTGGGAGGCTGTGTATGTGGATGTGTTGAATGTGGACGAAATGATATATTCAACTAAGACCCACACCCACATACACGCCCATGCCCATACCCACACCCTCGCCCTCATCCACGCCCACACCCTCACCCACACCCACAGCCTTATTTTAGTTTTATTTGTGCCTAACTTTCCTGTGCTCATCGTTTCGGTTCCCAGGAAAAATTGAGTGAAAATCTAAGGTGATGATTTGATCTGAATGCAGCGGATCATGTGAATGAACAATGCAAAAGATTCCATTGTCAGAGCAATGTAAAATACTCCTATCTATGAACTTTTCAATTAGATAAACATTGAATTTCTTCTCATACCTGATTTTCTCGATCTCTAACAATAATTGTTACATTATATTGATGTAAATCATTTTCATAATCGAATATTTTTTTATTTATAATTGTTCCATTATTTTCTGTTAATTGAAAAAAATTCATTTTATCGATTAATTCATAAATAAAATCATTTGAATTTCTTCCAATTGTACAAATTCTTGTTCCGATATTTTCATTTTCATTAATAAAACATTTTTTTTGATTTTCCAGATCAAAATAAACATTATCATCATTAATAATTGATATAAATAAATTCATTTGATCAGTTAAATTAACACCATCCTCAAATACTTGAATATTCAATGTAAAATTTGTAATCATTGATGAAAGTGATTGTTTTAAACGAATTATTCCAGTATATTTATCAATTGAAAAATAATCAGCTGAATTTAATAAATAATATGTTAGATTTCCATTCATTATTGGATCTTTACTTGTTGCATTTACTTGAAATATATTTGTATTCGGTCGAATTGTTTTACTTATATTAAGATAATAAATATCTTTCTCAAACATTGGTCCATTATCATTCAAATCATTAATATAAAGAATTAATTGATTTGTTAAATTATTTCCTTGATTATGAATATCAATAGCGAGAATTTCATATTGGATAAATGATCCATGATATTCTCTATCAAGTTTTTCATATAAAATAATTGAACCAGTCATTGGATCAATTGAAATTTGTGAGGAAGCATTTTTAAGATAATATTCATATTCGGAAATAAATAATTGATCAATATCAATTAAATCTATACGACCAACATAGAATGGAACAAGATTATTTTCAGTTACATTATAAATTAATGATTTATTATTGAAAACTATTGGATTATCATTCATATTAATTAATTTAATATAAATTAATACTGAACAATTTAATTCAGTAGGTTCAAGGATAACTGAAAATGAATAATATGGTTTTTGTTCGTAATCAAGACGTGCGTTGGATGTGATTACACCTAAATTAAAAAGATTTTTACATATTAGACAATATGAATAAGATATTCAAGTGTATCTCTATGTCACAGAAGACAATTCTATCTCATTTTACTGTACTAAGAAGTTTTTTATTAACAAACCTGTTCGAGAATTAAGAAGAAAGAATTGTGCATCATTATAATTTATATTTAATTTAAATTGTAGATGATTGATTAATTCCGAAGAATTATTAATTGTTAATAAAGTTTCTTTTACTGTTCCAATGATTGTACCAATAGGAGATTCTTCATTGATCATCCATTGAATTGGTACCTATAAACAGAAATATTTAGTTTATTGTTTTTTTTAAATAAAAAATGATTTACTGCTGGACAAATAAAGTGTGACCATTTAGGTGTTCGTATAATTGATATATTAGTACGACAATAGGATAATGATGATGATAATGAAGATATAAGAATAGTTAATTCAAAATATTCTTCAGATGTTTGATTGAGTATTGGTGATGTTAAATAAAGTTGACCAAGATTATTTATAGCAAAAAGACCATATGTATCTCCAGATAAGATGTAATAATTATTGGAAATATTATTAATATTAAGACTTATATCTTGAATAACAGTACCTGAAAAAAAAA